AGCTGGATGTGGAACTGGTGCCTGAGGACGACGGGTCGGCGACTGCGGAAGGGCCCGATGAAGCGGGCCGGCCGCCGCCCGAGTGAGCCACAGGGCCGCGGGAACGGCCGGGCGCTGGACAGCCCGGGCCCGAGAACCAGGATATTAAAACCTGACCCTTGCCTCGCTCCAGATTCCGAGTGATGGTTGCTGTTGCAGGAGATGCTGAGCGACGGAGGATGGACGGGCTGGAGGGTGCTGGGGGCAGATGGAGATAACCAACTCAGGAGAAAAGAAAGGAGAGGTGCTCCATGGCCCCGGAGACGATCCACAGAGGGGGAGCAGGCCTTTATTTCACTGGGGCTGAGAGCCCTGTCCCCCTTGGGGTCCCCACCCTTCCCCCACGGTCCAGCTGGTCCAGTCCTCAGTCCCCCTTCCGCTGCACCCTGGTGCCCAGGGGCCCCGGGTATGGCAGGCCCAGGGCAGGGTAGAAGGCTTCCGGGAGCGCAGGGCCGGGGCCCAGCCTCTGTAGGTGTGGGTACACGAGGCCCAGCTCGGCAGGGCCGTAGCGGATGGTGCCGGGTGCGCACAGGCCCCGCATGACAGGGGGCAGGAAGCCCGCATGCAGGAGGGAAGGTGGGGGGTCCCCAGGAGGCGCCAGGCCCCAAGGCCCCACCAGGTCCTGCTTCAGGGCCCCCGCCCGGATGACGGATGTGAACTCAGGCCTGGGCATGGCCAGGTGGCCTGGCAGCTCCTCATCCCCACTGTCCTCCAGGTCTTCAGTCTCCCCAGGACGGGGCTCCACTTTGATGAGTTTGCCCCGAGGTGGGGGGGCCTTGTCCTCGTCTGGGTGGGTGGCCTGCTTTCCTTCCACTGGAGGCTCTGGCTCTGGAAGAGGAAGATTCTGAAGGGCACCGTGTGTGCGTATGCCCAGCCCTCAGTCTTCCTATCTGTGGAATGGAGCTGCGCTCAGCAGTTTAGACATGCTGGGGCAGTTTTGTCCTCTCAGGGGGCATTTGGCGAGGTCTGGAGACATTTTTGATTGTCACAACTGGGGAGGAAGATGCTCCTGGATTCTAGTGGGTAGAAGTTGAGGATGCTGCTAGCCACCCCCGGGTGTGGGAAAGCCCCTACCACAAAGCGGGACAGCAGGGAGGGGACTGGGAGACTCCAGTCTGGACCCATGCTGTCCAATAGGACTTTTTTGAGGGCAGAAGCATTCCACGTCTGCCCTGACCACAAATGGCTACTGAGCTCTTCATGTGTGGCAAGTACAACACTGAGAAAATGGAATTTTAACTTTAATTGTACTATAAATAGCCACGTGTGAAGCTAGTGGCTCCCGCACAGGGCAGCACAGGTCCCAGAGGCGGCCCAGAGCCTCCCAGGGGCTGGGGTGGGGTGGGGTGGGTCTCACCTGTGGGCTCTGGCTCCGGGCTGGATGCGTCCTCACAGGCCACACTGGCCGGAAGCTGGAAGGCGTCCAGAGGTGTCTGGCCCCCCTCGGCTTGGCTGGGACAAGACAGATGGGATTGGGAGCTGGGGTCCTGGGCCACCCAGCCTCTGGTGAGGGTAGACACCCTCCTGCCCGCCAGTTTTGTGAGTGTAGGCTTTCCCTCACCCCGGAGTGTAGATGCCTCCCCTCACAGTGAATGGGGAGCCCCCTCCCAAGGCCCTTAGGCCTCATCATTGAACCCCAAACTCTAAGGTGGCTTCTAGCCCAGCGTGGCCTTGTCTCCTGTGACCAGACCTTTGCAGTCCGTGGCTGCCTGGATGTCACCATATAAGTGTCCCTGGGCACCTCATGCTCATCCAGCCTCAGTACCTTCCTTCCAAACCTGCTGCTCCTCTCAGAGGCCTGGATCTGGGCCCAGTAAAGCCAGAGGTGGCCAGATGGCTGCCTCCCCTGTCTTGTTCTTTAGACTTCCCTCTTCATGGCAACCAGAGCAGTCTTTCCAAACAGCAGATTTGGCTGTGACTCTTTCAGCTCTAAACCCTCCCATGGCTCCCCAGTGACCCCACCATCCTTAGCTTCGACTCTGTATTCCAGCCTGAAGCACTGTCTTTAGTTCCTCAGATGAGTCCAGTGTGGCTCTGAGCCTTTGCCTATGCTGTGCCCTCAGCCTGAAATGTCCTTCCCACCTCTAGCTCCTTTCCATCAGTTGCTCTGCTCTGTGGTGGCTGTCCTCTGGTAAGAGCCTGCCATGGCTCCCCAGTGCCCTAGATGCAACCTAGGCCTGAGGTCGCTTTGCATCTGCCTCCTTCTCCCTAGAAGGGGTTGTCACTCCCTCCCCATCCCACCACACCCCTGCCTCCTGCAAGAAAGTCATTCCACATCCAAGCCTTTACTCTCACTGGACGCCTCCCCTTCATGTTTTAAAAACCCTCTGGGCTGGTCCTTTTCTAGAAGCCTTCCCGAAAGAGCTCCCACCCAGAGATGGGGAGAGCTGGCAGAATCTTCTGGAGGGAGTTCCGAGCTCCCTGTGAGAGAGGAGGGGGCGCAGCCCTCACCTGAGCACGTAGCTGACCCAGAGCACGTGGCGCTCTCCAGGGCTCTTCCCGCTCACAGCCACAGTGGCCACAGACTGCAGCCACACGAAGCCCCCGGCGCGCTGCAGCCAACGGTAGTAACCAGTCATCACCTGACCCTTGTCGAGCACTGGGCCCAGGGACCGGGAGAGATCGGAAGGGATGGGGTCGGGGCAGGATAGGGTGAGGCAGTCAGAGGAGAGATGGGCGAACGGGCAGACAGGCAGAGGGAGAGACGTGGACAGGGAGACAGGCAGAGAGGAGGCAGGTACAGAGAGAGGGTGACAGGGAAACAGAAGGTGGGACGGTGGGGAGAAGAGAAAGGCAAAGTACAGAGAAGGAGACAGAGAGAGCCCGAGTCAGAAAGACTGAGAGGTAACCTGGTAGCAAGGCCCCTGGACTTTGAAGGGTGGGTCAGAGAAAACCCACTGTCCCCTTACTCCCACCCCTCAGCCTGAGCTGTTGCTCAGAGTCTCCTTGCTGCTCTTCCTGTGCTGAGTTGAGCCCCTGGAGTTGGCAGCAGGAGGGACTGTGGTCAGCCCCAGAGAAGGACTTCCAGGGAGCGGGGCAGGCGGAGGTGCTCAGGTCTAGGGTGAGGGGTTCTCACAGTCCAGGTGGCTTTGGCGGATCCTTGTTGCATCCTGTCCATGGACAAACTGGTAGCAGCTGCGGCCCACTAGCTCTGAGGGTCCCAGGTCCATGTGGTCGCTGACTCTGAGGACAGGGGACACAGAGAAGGGGAGAGAAGGGGTCCGGGACCATGGGGTGGGGAGAAAGAGGCCAGGTTGGCTCCAGAATCACTCAGGGTTCAAACCCTTGCTCTGGAGTGCTCGGAGCCTCAGTTTTTCCCTCTGTAAAATGGGCAGAGAATGTTTAAATTAATAGTGTCCCTCCTAGGGCAGCAATGGGCATCAAACAGATGGCACTCCTGCGCGTGGGGTGTGGGGTGGTCCGGACACTCCGGAGGTGCCCAGAGCATGGAGACTATTCTACTACATGGTGCAGGAGACAGACTGGAAAAGAGATGGGAGACGGGAGACCTGGAAAGAAATGGGCTCAGGGGAGGGCGGAGCTCTGCGGAAGGGAGCCGGGAAGGGAGGGCCTGCGCCTGAGAATCGGGCACTGCCCTGCCTCCATCCTCAGAGGCCCCGGCCCAGCCTCCGCCTTCGCTCCCTCTTCCAGTCTCCCGGACCCTCTGCTGCTCTTGCGGCTCCGCAGGGCCTCAGCCCACAGCCCCCTTGCCCGTCTGACTTTCCGTCTAGCCCCCCTCTCCCGTGCACCCCCATCTGCCCGCCTCAGCCCCCAACCCCGGTACCTGCTCTCACAAGCAAGGATGGTGAGACCCAGGCTGAGTCGGAAGACGATCATGTGTCCGTGTAGCGGCAGCTCAGCCAGCGGGGCTGGGGGCAGCGTGTGGCCGAGGGCCACAAGGCCCAGGGCACGGGCCCGAAGGCGACCGGTCACATGGATGACCTGCAGGCAGCATGCGCGGTTGGAGGGGTGGGCGGGGCCCGGGGAGGGGTACCCCAACCTGGCCAGGGGGCCTGGCTCTGACCAGGGGCTGGGGCACAGGGACAGAGCTGGCAGGAATACAGTCGCATTCCTCAGGTCGGGGAGGGAGTGTGGGAGTCAGAGGCTGGGATAGAGAGCTTACACCCACCTTGTACCCAGAGGCCTTGACATGCAGCCCCCTCTTGGTGAGGGTGGATTTCATGCGGATGAAGAAAGAACGCTCCTGGATCCGGGAGGAGGGGGGCACCTCAGTGGGGCTGGTTTCTGGTGCAGAGAATGAAGGAAGGTTATGGGGTCCTGAAGAGGACACACAGGCCACCCCTGCCCTCTGCAGAGCTAACCTGCCACAGGGTCAGGACCACAGTCATGCAGACACACTTACAAGCACACTGACATCATACCCAGCTGAGTCTTTTCTAAAGTTAAGATCTGACCCTGTCCCTCCTCTGCCCTGAAACTGCCATGGCCCCCTAGTACCCTTGGGAGAAAACCCAGCTCCTCCTGACATCATCTCCAGCCACAACCTCAGGTCTCAGGTTACACCTCTCCTCCATGAAGTCCTCATGACCCCAAAGCTGGGTCAGCTGCCCCTTTGGCGTCTCCTACCAGAGCCCTGCTCACGCCAGGTCATCACTTTCTGGGGACAGGTCAGTCTCCCCCACTAGACTGTGAGCCCTGGGAAGGTGGGGCTGCAGCTCTTGTCACCACTGTGTCCCCAGCCCTGCCCAGCACAGGGCTGGGCACAGAGTAGGGGCTCAGGCTACAGCAACAAAAAAGATCGCAAATACAGATTATTCTACAGGGGGTGGTAGAGCTCAGTGGTAGAGCACAGGCTTAGCATGCACAAGGTCCTGGGTTCAATCCCCAGTACCTCCCTTTAAAACAAAAAATCAGGTTATTCTATAAACCCCGTGATACAGTCTTATAAATATACTCACACCCAGATGACCCTGTGCCTGAAACTAAGGTATAAATATAATCACAGTCCCCAGTAGTCCCACACGTGTCACAAACATCTCCCCAGGCTTGCAAGCACTGCTGATAGTTGGTCAGACGGTTCTGGGTATTAAGCAGAACCCACATAAGAAAAGCTTTTTACAGGAAGGTTAACTTCAGCACCCCAGTAACTCAGAGCAAAAAGGAACGTTCAGGGTTATCTCCAACACCCTCCTTCCCCAACATGGAGTGGAATTTTTCATGGGAGAGAAAGATTAGATCAGAGAACCTGGGCTGGAGTCCAGCTCACCCACTTATAGCTGTGTAATCGTCGACACTTAACCTCTCTGTGCTGTGCCTCAGGTTCCTCCTCTGCAAATGGAGAGAGTAGTAGTCCCTGCTTCGTGGGATTGTGGTTTGGATTTAATAAAAGGCACTTAAAGGCAGGGCACGTGTAAATGCCCAATAAGCACGCGTTATGCCCTTTATTATTTACCAAAGCCTGGTCCCATCAGGCACCCACGTCCACTTCGCAGCCAGAGGGGTCTTTCTAAAGCTCAAATCTTGGGGATCCAGACAATCATAGGGAGCTTATGCAATTTTAGGGAGCCACATCTCGCAGCATCAGTTTAGACTCTGATTCATTTTGCAAAAACTTGCTTTGCACAACTCTAATGAGAGCACTTCGTATAAACAAGACATAGCTGGATACATTGTCCCCAGCATCCCAGTCCACCCTCAGGCCTCATTCTTTGGGGGCCCTGGGAATTACCAATCTCAGGGGTATCCGCAAGCGAGGAGGAAGATGAGGAAGAGGAAGAAGAGGAGAGGATGGATGGTGGGGTGGGGGGCCCCGGGGTCGGGGCCCGCAGCCCCAGTTGCTCCAGCACCTCAGAGTGGTCCCCGGGATGGATGTAGTCGAAGACACTGCTGCCTGTCAGCTCCACCTGCAGGCGAAGGAGGGGGGTGCAGGGGTGGGAGAGGTGTGCTCACGGTCACCCGTGAGCCCATTTCTGCCTCAGGCTCACTCACCTACATACAGCTGTGTTTCACACCAGTCTTGTGTTTGCATTAGGAAATTTTTTTTCTTTGCTTAATCTTTTTAAAGGAGGATACAAGTTTAGGGCCTTCACGTGCCCTCCCACTTCAAACCCAGTGATTATTAAGGATTTTCTGCCCTTGCCTATGCTATTAAGAAGCTGTGTAGGGGGTGGGCATCAAAGCCTCCATTTACCCAGCGCCTGCTTACTCTCACCCCTAGACTGCAAACAACTGTGCCCTGAAATGACTTACAGGATGTCCTAGCAGAAATGGAAACCAGGACACAAGCAATGGAATGGTTTTCAAGCTCTTTAGAGTTAGAACCTTTTAATCCAATGGACTTTTACATTGAATTCACCCCTCAAATCTCTCGTGGCAGCCCCCTTCTCTCCACACCTCCCTCAATCTGGGTGCCCATCTTCTCCCTGCTGTGTTCCTGTCCCAGCATCCTCACCGGTCTTCTGGCCTTCAGACCCTACACAAATACCCGTCTGATCATGGCCTTCCTCCTCTCAGAAACCTCCATGGTTCCCACTGTCCCTGGACTTGGGGTCACATGCTTCACTCTATCCCTCATTCATTAAACCCTCTCCCATACCAGCTTCAAGCCTTTCCCTGACTCCTCCTCTCCCCCTTCATTTTTTCCATACTCCCCTTCCATCAGGGTCTTCCTGCTCCAGGAATCTCCAGGAGCTCACTGAAGAGCTTCTCACCAAGGCCCGATACCAATACACTGACTCTTCTAAATTTACCATTTGTCAGATCTTTGTAAAAATGACAAAAGTTGATAGCAATTGGTTTTAATTGGATTAGACAAGGCCTAAGATGCCACAGGGAGCCAGGACTCCAGGGAGCTTTTGGCTTCTCCGAGCCCTCCTTTTACCTATCAGCCACCAGCTTCCAGGAGCTGGGGCAGAAAACAGCAGGGTGAAATCCAGGCAAAACGCAAGGCAGTCAAGGATGCCACTGAAAATCTTCCAAACTGGCCAAACCCAAGCCCTTCCAACACAAACTGCTGTAATCCTTTAAAACCGTTACGAAGAAACAAGTTTTGGTAAATAACATACATTTGGCAACCACCCACTGGCAAACTGGTCTTCCTGCTAATTTGTTTTCGTCAAATCAACCTATTTAATAACCCTCCTCTGCCTGGGAGGAGGAGCCATGTTAGGTGCCATGTGGGGTTCCAAGGAACACACTTTGGGAACCAAAGATCCAGTCCACTTTTCATGCTGGGATGGTGAGGCCAGGAGAGAGAGGGGCCAGCAAGGGAGATGGTGGCTGAGCCAGTCCAGGCAGTCTGCTGCGGCTGCTCCTTACCTGTGAGAGACCCAGGTAAATGGAGACTGTCTCTGAGATGTAGAGGAACTTCCCTTCCTGGTTCAAGGCAAACACGAAGCCGTCCAGGGACTAGAGTCAGGAGAGACAGAGAACAGGGAGAGGAGGGCCTGGCATCTGTGAGAGGTTCTGAAATCTGGATCTCCGCCTCGGATGGATTATTCTGAGGTAAAGAGCTTCACTGGCACTTGGGAGGTGCAGGCAGGAGGGGGTCCCCAGCATTCTGCCTCCCGGTTCTCCACGGGACAGAAGATGGAGAAAAGGGTGCCGTTCCCGGGCGCGGCCACCAGGTGACAGCAAGGAGCAGCAGGCAGGGAAGGGGCCTCACCTGCAAGATGTGTCCGCCCAGGTGCTGCTCAAAGACTTCGGAGACCAGCGCCACGGGGCCCCTGCGGCCTGGGGCTGGGGGCAGAGGGAGGGGTTAGGCCAGGGTCTGTAGGTTTGGCTGACCCCTCCACCCACCCCGCGCCTTCTGGGCAGCGCCCGAGGGAGCCGGGTTACAGATCTCCCTCTCTTCTCCCCAGTCCTGTAGCCAACTTGGGGTATGGGGGGGCCCTGGGACCTGTCAGAGAGAGACTTGGGGTGTGGAGAGGCATGGGTGAGGCAGGGGTGGGCGGGACAGACAGAGAAACTGAGACGGAAAGATACCAGGGGAAGCAGAAAGGGATTCTTTTGTTCATTCATTCATTCATCCATCCAGTCAGTCATTTGGCAAACTCACTGAGCATCAGCAGTGCACGAGGCCCTGCTGGGGACACAACGTGACCAGGACAGCCCAGCTGTGCCCTCACAGGCTACCTAGGCCAGGGCAGATATAAATGAGCAAGAAATGAACAAATATAGAACTGTCATTTGTGGCCAGTGCTATAAAGAATCAAATAGGTGGTGTGAAATAAAGAAGAATGTGGTAAGGCCTGTTGAAGGAGGGGCATTTAAGCTCAGATCCGAAGGATGAGGAGGCAGAAAAGGAGAGACAGATACAGAGAGAGAGATACAGAAAGAGACAGAGATATTGAATGACAAAGACAGATAGACAAATAGATGGACAGAGAGACATGCAGAAATATAGAGGAATAGAGAAAGAGATAAGGACATCACAACTCAACAAAACGACCGACAACCCAATTTAAAAATGGGCAAAGAACTCGAATAGACATTCATCCAAAGAAGATACATAAATGGCCAATAAGCCCATGAAAAGATTTTCAACATCATTATCACTAGCAAAATGCACAATGAGAGATCACACCCACCAGGATGGCTAGAATTAAAACAAAACAAAACCCAGAAAATATATGTTGGTGAGGATGTTGAGAAATTGGAACCCCTGTGCCTTGCTGGTGGGAATGTGAAACGATGGAGCCACTCTGGAAAATAATTTGGCAATTCCTCAAAAAGTGAAACATAGATTTACCAAATCACCCAGCTATTCACTCCCAGGTATACACCCCAAAGAATTGAAAACAGGTGCTCTAACAAATACTGGTACATGAATGTGCACAGCAGCATTATGCCTAACAGCCAAAATGTGGAAACAACCCAAATGTCTATTAACTGATGAACAGATAACTAAAATGTGCTATATTCATACAACGGAAGATTATTCAGCCATGAAAAGCAACAGAGTACTGATCTCTGCTACAACATGGATGAACTTTAAAAACATGATGCTAAGTGAAAGAAGCCGAGCACATGAGGCTACACAGTGATTCCTTTTACATAAACTGTCCAGAGAAGGCAAATCCAGAGACTGAAAGCAGATGAGCAGTTGCCAGGGGCCCGGGGAGAGGCAGGAGGAATGGGGAGGGACACCTAACGGGTACAGGGTTTTTGGAGGGTGATGAAAATGTCCTGGACTTAGAAGTGCTGGTTGCACATCACTGTGAATGTGCTAAGTGATGCTGAACTGCACACTTTAAAATGGTGAATTTCAGGTTATATAAATTTTACCCCAATGAAAGAGACTCCCTGAGCACCAGCAGTGCACCAGGCCCTGCTGGGGACACAGCATGACCAGGACCGCCCAGCTGTGCCCTCAGAGAGAAATTGAGACTGAGGTAGGCAAAGACAGAAACAGAAAGAGATGGAGGGACAGAGGAAGAGACTAACACAGAGAACTACAGAGACAGTGGCGGGAAGACAGATGGCCAAGGGGAGGGAGGCAAGGACGCAGGCCACTCCGCCCCCTCCCCTCCCCCCTTCAGGAGCAGGGGGCTCCAGACACCCATGCTGCTGGGTGTGGGCAGAGGCCCTGGGTTCCTGGACCCTGTTCCCACCTGGGTCCGCCCCCGACCCTGCAGAGACCAACCCCTCAAGGGGTCTGCACCCAGGCTGGGGAGCTGGGTGAAGGGACTCAGTGACTTCCAGGGTCCCCAGGCACCTGGCTGCTGCAGGCCTGAGGGGCCAGGTAAGGTGTCAAACCCCAGGGCGGTCCCTCCCTGGGACCAGTGCCTTCACTTCTCTGTGCCTCAGTCTGCCCCTCTGTGAAGTGGGTTTGCTAAGAGGGCGGACCTCACAGGGCTGTTCAGCATTCACTCAGCTTACAGAACAGAAAGGGCCTACAGCGGGCCTGCATACAGCAGGTGCTCGGAAACATAGAGCCCGTATCAGTATTAATAGTGTGATTACTATTGTTATTTCCAGACCATCAAAACACCAGGCAGCGAAACGCCGCCTCTTCCCTTCTCCAATCCGGATACAGCCCCCGAGCCCCGCCCCCCGCCCCCATGTCTAGGCCACGCCTTCTTCCCCCAAGAGCACCCCCAACATCCTCCCGGCTGTTCACACCCTCTTTCCACCCCCGCCTGGAACTCCAGGAACAATAACTGGGGGGGGGGGGGAGGGTGTGTGATGGGAACTCCTCCCCCGAGATGCAGCGGGAACCAGCCGGGTGACAGGAGGGAACAATGCCGCCTGCTAATTGTCGCAATTTTCCCCTGTCATTTTTGCTAATTCCTTCATTTTCCTTCTCACAGGATCAGCTCAGGTCAGACTGAACGGCTGCAATTAACAGCGTTAATGGGCACGTCGGGAAGGGGAGGGCTCAGCCATTTGCTGTTCCCCCATCCTGTCCCCAGGGCAGGAGCCCTGGGTCTGCACCCATTCCTGACTGATGTGTCTTATTACCCCCAGTCCCCCCCAAACCCGCCAAATCTCTGACTCTCCCTTATGTTCCTTCCCCTCTCCCACAAATCCCTCAACTCCATGTGTCCCCCAAACTCAGCAGGAGGCTCTTCACTACTCCCAGATCTGTCCCTTCCTCATGTCCAAACCCACAGCATCAGTTATTCATTCAATAAACATTTGCTGTTTCTTGTGGGAGCAGAGCTGACCTCTGCTGGAGGAAAAAAACTGTCGGGGTCATCATCCTTCCCCTCACACAGAGAGGGTGTGAGGGACTGAGGGGGGAAGCCAAGACCTCTCCCAGGGGTGCCCCCTCCGCCTCCCACTCTCAGTTGCCCTGAGGGATTTGCTGCCCTGGCTGAGTGGGGATGAAGGGCTGGGACTTCATCAGCCTTCGGAAGTCTGGGAGAGGGAGCCCTTACCATAATCAGACTGCCTCTGTCTCTGGGAGCAGACCTGAGGGCAGGATGAGGTGCATTTCTGCCTCGACTTCCCTAGCTGCATCTGTGAAATGGGTCTGGGTCTAGAGCTGAATTAGTTTATGCATGTAAATGGCACACAGCAGAGTACACAGTAGGTGAGTTTGGGACTATCTCATCAGTATTACTATAGATAACCTCTACTGTAGGCACCTCTAACCTTCTGGGGACTTCCTTACCACCCACCTTAACCCTCACTTTCTCTCACACCCACACCCACTTTCTGCAAGTCCTGAGGCTGTACCTCCATTGCATCACCTGAATCCGAACACCTCTCACCCCATGGCCCCCACCCAGATGCCCTGCTGACCGTTCCCTGCCTCACTCCTCTCTGACCTCATGGCTATGGCCTGCACCCAGCAAGTTGATTGCTGCCTGCCTCAGGGCCTTTGCACTTACTGTTCCCTCTGTCTGGACCACTCTACTTCCAGCTTTTCTCATAGCTTGCTCCCTTACCTCCTTTCAGACTCAGCTCAATGGTCACTTTCTCAGAGAGACCACGTGGTGACCTGTGAATTAAGATATCCCCCTCCTTCCCCTCACCTAGTTCTATAGTCACAGATATTTAGTGACCCCTTACTGTGCCCCAGGCACTATTCTAGGCTCAGCAAACAGTGCTGTAGGGGAGAAACACACAACAAACAAGAGAAATAAGAAATACATTGTGTCAGATGATGATAAGTACTGTGGAAAGAAATGAGGTAGGAAAGGAAAACAGGAAGTGCTGAGAACAGTAGGTTGTCCTTTTTAATAGAGTGGTCAGGGAAGGCCTGAGCAAAGAGCCCACATTCTAAGGGAAGGGGGGTTCCTGGTGAGGTATAGCAAGTGCAAAGGCCCTGAGGTGGGAACATGCTTCTCTGAAGAGCAAGGTGGCCCATGTTGGAGAGGAAACTGAAGGGTGAGAGGAGCAGAAAGATGAGATCAGGGAAGTGGGAGAAGGGTCTTTGTTCCTTGCTGTATCCCCTGCACCTAGAGCAGTGCCTGACACAGGGAAGATATTCATTAGGTGTTTGTTGAATGAATAACAGACAAATGCTGATATGAGATCAAGGCTATCTCCTCTCCAGACTCAAAGCCTCAAAACCTCCCAATCACTAGACTTCAACATCTGTCATCCCATTTTACTGACAGCTGAGTGCGGCCCAAAGAGAGGCAGAGATCTGCAAGGTAGGACCCATCTCTGGAGACCTAACAAACATGATGCTAAATATGGTGGTTGGAAAGGTGGGCTCTGGAGCCAGGCTGTCTGAATTTGAATCCTGGCTGGGCCCTTCCCAGCTGTGTGATCTTGGGCAAAGAGCTTCACCTCTCTGGGTCTCAGTTTTCTACTTCTATAAAATGGGAAACATCCCATTGCCTCCCTCTGAAGATTTTTTGAGAGGATTAAGCAAGTGAATTTTTTTTGGTGAGGGAGGTGATTACGTTCATGTATTTATTATTGTTATTATTTTTTTAGTGGAGGTACTGGGTATCGAACCCAGGCCCTTTTGCATGCCAAGCACATGCTCTACCACTGAGCTATACCCTCCACAGCAAGTGAATTTGGATACGGTGCTCAACACGGAGTCTGACGTGTATATTATTACTACTAAGGTTTGAGGGGAATATGGGGGCCCCCTCCTCTTCAGGGAGTGGAAGGCACAATGCTTTGCTCTCTGAACGAAGCTAAGTCCTTGTCCTTGGTTTCCCCATCTGAACTATGGGAGCAGGTGCTTGGCCTCTTGTTGGGGAGCCGGTAGAGCAGGAGATGCCTCCAATTTCTTTCTTTAGGGGGGTAGGGAGGGACTCCACGCAGTACCTCCCCCTCCTCCTCCTCACTGTCCTGTCCGCCCTTCCTACTGGCAGGGGGGCTGCTGAAGTCGGTGGTCAGCCACCTCAGCGCTGTGACCTTAGGGAGCCCCGGCCCCCTAGAATTACTCATCCAGGCAAGCAGGAAGGGGGAGGCTGGACGCCCAGGGGGGCTCTCTCAGCGTTCCCCTCCCCTTCTCTCCCCGGGTCTTGGGGACAATAGACAAGATGTTTATCCCCCGCCGGCGCACATGTTGTTCGAGGTAATGACAGTAATCAGCGGCGCTAATGCCGCATTCTCTCCGCGCCAGTCAATTCGCCTAATTACCGCCTGGGAAGCCAGATTATTTAAATTTAAATGGTGATTTATTGCGAGCTTAATCAATGCTATTTTCTCTCCCCCTCCCCCTCTCCCCCCAGGGGCCGGGGCAGGAGGGGAATTGGAGCCCTTCCAACCCCACCCTAAGGACAATCCTTGGTGGTAGGGGACTAGTCTAGGATGCTCTGTCCCTGTCACCTGTGGCCTCAGATTAACACGATTCGCTCTCTTCCAGTAATAAGAGTAAAGCGATAAAACATAAAATAGAAGTAATAACAATAACATAACATTTCTATGTATCTAGAAAATAATAAAGTCAATAATAATGAGAGGAGATATCTACCTCTATATATCTGTGTTTTACATATTTTTACATATTATCGATTGCATTTCCTTGTTTATTTCACTACTGTGTCTTGGCCAGTAGGATGGCAGCCTGTCCAGGGCAGGGACTTATATCCGGTTTGTTTCCTGCTGGATCCTGGATCCTGAGGGCTCAGGACAGGTGCTCAATCAAGGTGCTGGCAACCACCGATAACAGTACTTGCTATTTACTGACTGCTTACTCTGTGCCCGGTGTGGCCAGGGTCTTTTGGCGGGGAGGTAATTAGGCTTATTTATTCTTTTTTTTTTTTTAATGGAGGTATTGGGGATTGAACCCAGGACCTTGTGCATGCTCAGCGGGAACTCTACCACTGAGCTATACCCTCCCTCCACGGTCTTTACACATATCACCTGGTAGATCTCTTCTCTTGGCCCTGGGATTTGGGGGGTGTGGGTAAGGGGCTTCCTCATGATTCCCATTTCACAAAGGAGGCACAGAGAAGTGAGGCGACCTGCCCGGGGTCATAATGCTGGGGGGTGGCCGAGTGGGGACAAGGAACCTGTCTTTCTGAAGCTCATCAAATTACCTGCCAGTATTATCCTGTCACCCTCCTTTCCCAAACTGGGAATTTGGACTCCAGAGTCCTTGTGCTCCCTTAGGTCTGTGTGAGAGGGTTTTCTGCCCATGAGTGGATAAGAGGCCCAGGCTGAGTCCCCTCTGTCCCGCCCATAGAACTGTGGGTCTCCTTTGTAATAATGATGATTCATTTCCTCAAATAAAAATAATAGCATTTTCTAGTGGTACGACCCCTGATTAGGCCAGAATTCATGAAATCATCCCTACATCGTGTGCCCGTTTTACAGATGAATACACTGAGGCTTAGACAGTAGAGGCTGCCTGATAGGGACACAAAAAAGTCTATCTGACTCCAAATCCTATACTCCCTCCGGGTGCAGGAGCGGGGCGAGGGCCGGCGCTC